CTTCAGTCTTTCCACTGCGAAAGCCAAATATGTGTGGCTTCTTCTTAGACCTCTTCTATACTTAGCGCCATGTGCTCACATCTAGTGAATGGACTGCCATAAAAACCAACAGATGCTGACAATAAAAGTGTTAACCAGCTTCTGACCGCCATAGTAGAGGCTATAAAAACAAACGCCTGGCGGATACTACATAAGCACTTCGAAATGATCCAAATCAGAGGACCAGTTCATCTCAAGGACCAATGTAGTCGGCCCAAACTGTGCTTTTTTATTTTTTATTCAAACGTTCTGTCCCATTGTCTGTTCTTTTGACATTCCTGATTTTATAAGTATTGTTTGATGTTAAGGACGGACGTCTGACGCCCTGTGCACATGATGGAAGTCTACTGTGTAAAGAGAAAAAGAGAAAACTCAGGATGTCATCATCTTTGCATGCCACTGCTAGCAGGAAAAAAAGATGCAGCAGTTGAGTTGTAAAGCCATAAAGGAAAAGAGGTGTGCTAGGGTGATCGATGCCATTTACCAAAATTATTGTTTTGACCAGTAAGCAATGTCTAGACTATATTCAATAACTGTGTATTATCCATTATTGCACATTGACTATGTATATTGAAGCTGTTCATTGAAGAAGGTACTTGATGTCTCGATGCCAATGTGATTTATAAAGTCATTGATGGGGGACAGATTTTATTGTAGATGCAATAGCTATGAATGTAGCTATGAATAAACGGATGGTTTATTTATATGCTTATAAAAGAAAATGATGTTATCCAGATGAGGGACACCCTTGGGTTTTCAAAAAATGAATTCAACCTGATTTGTACCATATTATTCATATACCTTTGTGACATTAACACTTACAGACTGAGGATTACAGTTGAAATTGTTACTAACGTTCAAAAATCAAGAAGCCCAAAGATTATCTCTCAAATTTGACATGATATAACACAGTTAATAGCAAGTAAACGGTATAAATGTCACTTAAATTTTACGTAAAACTAAGACCCAATAAGGGCCGGTTCACACAGAACGCATTTTTCCACATCTTTTGCAGCGTCTCATGCATGACACGACATTCTAAAAATGCGGCGCTCAAGTTAAAATAAGTTCAACCTTTTTTTTTCTCTCACTAACCTGCATTTCGCGTTTTTAACCGCAATACGTGTTCTGTGTAAATACCCCCTAAGGTGTACAATTAAAGTTTTATTACTCCACCCTTATGGCCAGGTCACACAGAAGGTGTTTTTCCATTCCACTGCACTACTTTTCCTTTTTTTTTTTAAACGTAAACATGCGAAAGATGTGTTTGCTTATGCTCTGACACAGCATTTTAAAAACGCAGTGCTTAAGTTAAAATAAGTTAAACTTAGACACAAAAAAGCTCCATAGACCTGCTACTATATTCGTAAATGCTAAAAAAAAATATTTTAAAAATCGAGTGTTAAGGGACGGTTCTCATAAAACGTTTTTTTTTTGCTGTTAAAAGCGCGAGACGAACACATTTTTAAAGTTGAATTCATTTTAACTTGAGCTCGATGATTTTAGAATGCTGTGTCGTCAGAGACGCTGCAAAAGACGCGAACGCAACGCAACGGTTAAAGACGTCAGTCTAGCGTGTGTTTATTGAAAAACAATGGAAAATTAGCACTGTGGAAAAACCTGAACGGCCCCTTACAGTTCAAATGTGAATCCGATGTGAAATCCGAGCAGGGAAATGTTCGTCTTATGCGAAATTAAAGATAGCATTGATTCCTATTGAGATGACTGCATTACACCAGAGAAATTTCGCCATACATACAGCACTTTTAAAGTCCATAAAACAATAAACCAGCAATAAAAGAGGACCAGTAAAAAGTCCAAAAAACAACAAAAGAACAGCGCAGCGTCTTGAGAAGGGGTGTAGGCTAAAGGTCAAAGGCGTAAGTGTAGCAAATTTTTTATTTAAAACCAATTGAAAGTCATTGCCCTTCATCTTTTAAAAGCGTTATTCTATTTCCTCAATGTTGCATCTTGTGTTAGACCGCAAAACCACGTCCTGTGTGAACGACCCTTGTCTGATTTATTAGATTGTGAAAACGTTGTTGATGATGTAGATGTCACCTGATGGGATGATACAAATGAGCGGCTCATCTCAACATTAATAATTACTGTCACTAGTGACAAGAACACTTGCTCTGGGTTTAAAGCAGACGTCATATTCCAGGTCAAGCGAGGGTCGCAGTGACGTTTCGCGCCGCCGCTTGTTCAGGCTCACGTGCGTAATCCCAGCGGGGGTTTGACATCACGGGCTCCTCTTTAACACACTCCCTCAAGCTTTTCATCTCTGTAAACCCATCATAATGCAGTGCAGAAAGAGTTGAGGCGCAGGTTTCAAAGGTTCGGAGGCTTTTCTTAATGATGACGATTGCTGCTGATCGCTATAGGCAACAATTAATTCTAATGGAATTTAAAAAAAGTAGCCCAATTGTTAAACGGTGTCAAGTTTCAGCAGAAACGAGGGCCTTTAATTAGAGGATATTTTTAAGGCTTCATGCCACTATTTTGTCATTGTGAGTGTGTAGTCTGTGTTCACTCGATACAATTATGCAATTTAATGCTTTAGTGCACAGGTTCGCGCTAACTCGTAATAGACGGAAATAAATTATTTTTTACTCCGCTCGCATTTACGCGCACTATAGTCTCGTCCTGTGGATATAGGACCATAGATCATGGAACTGATGATAGTTCATTGTATGGAGTTGATAAAATATCGCAATACATTAACTGAAAGCACTTGCTATGTAGGCTACAATGTTTATCTAAATGCATCGGTTTGTTTCTTTTCCTTTCCCCAAAGTTGAATAGATTTTCATCTCCCTCCTGAGGGAGAAACACTTGGTGACTGTTATTATTATATCTCACTTGCTGGCTGTACTAGTTTTTACTCTGAGCTGTGTAAATAGAAACTGCCATTGTAATTGTGCTACGGTGACAATGTTCTGGTGCTCGTCAGTGCCGCTGTTGTTGTTTTCTTTGGTGTTTTCTTTCGAAGGTGCCTGTGTTCATATGAGCTCCTGGTTATTGGTCATGAAAAAATAAAAACGATTTTTTTTCCGGCAGCTGTTTACTATACGATGTCTGCTGGTGTGTATTTATTAATCTAAATAAAACATGGCCTAATGTGCTTATTTCAGAAACTGGGCTTGATTATAATAGGTTAAAAAAAAAAAAAATTGCACACAATGCTTTCAAGTGTTTACAGACCCTAGCTTGGTAGCAGACTAATTAAAATAGTCTCCAGGATACTATTATGTATGAAATATAACTATTTCGAAATACTGACTGGGAAAATGTTTGAGATTAATAGATTTCTCCCCACATACTGTTAAAACGCGAAAAGATGTCGATTTAGTGTACGTTTATAGACTACAAGAACTCAGATCTCATGTGGACTGTAGGCCGGTGATGGGCTTGAAAATAGTATGAAAATAAAAAAACAGTTTCTATAGACTTTTTACAGTGTAGCCATTCAAAGATAATATGACAAATGTAACGTCTGAATTGTTTAGTTGCCAACTATCAATTATAAACGCGACTCAGTTACAGTACAGCGTTATTTAATACTTCACAGCGGAAAACACAATTGTACTACATTAAGCCATTAAAAATACAGGATGTAGAATCTTTTGACATTAGTCACCTTGAGAAAGTAAACATTATGGTGCCATCTAGTGTTCTGTAGCAGTAGTACAGCTGCATTGAGTTACTGCAACATTTCAAAGAATGACTGCTGGACAAAGACGGTGTGTGATGTGCTTTATTATATTATGCATCGGACATAAGGAACAAATGTTTATATTAAAGTAATTCTAGTCTTTCAGGGTGCTAATTATAAATGAACAATAGCATATTCAAATACAACTGCTACCCAAAACAAAAGCCAATTAGCGACATTCAGTGAAAAGCAACATCCATATTCAAAAGGATGTGAGGAAAACGGAAACATACAACACCTGAGCTACAGTATGACATCAGTGAGGCAGAAGGGGCACACATTAAAACATTTTTGGTCGCACTGGAGATTTCCACCCTCCATCTAGTAAGTCGCAACACAAAACACACAAACATTGTTTTAAACGGATTACTGTTGACTATTTTTCATATTAGTATTTTATATATATATATATATATATATATATATATAGGATATCACTATCAGATCTAGACTGATAGATCAAAAATTTAAACCTCTGTAAACGTCTATATTCCTATATATATATATCTAGCAACAGCATAGCAGCAAGCATAAACATTTGCTCGTCTCTGTATATCAAAGTAAAATGCAAGAAATATAAAAGTACACTCAAATTAAGAGCCAAGAATAATATTAATGCATCTGCTTTGAACGCAACAACGTTAAGTACAACAACAACCAGGTAAGTACCACATGCAGAAGCCCCTGCACCTTACTATTATCATACATTTGACTTAATATCTACAAACTCAAACTATATCAATAAAAAATATACCTTTATTTAACCTATAACATCAACTTAATTTGTAGTTTAAGAATTTGACAGCAGGCATTAGTGTAAGCGGATCCATTAACAATACTGGAATTAGTGCTTGTAAATATTATGTAGTTGCGCTGGATCTAAAGCTAATCATTTTATATCAACACGGATTTTTGGCTGCATTAGACAGTTTAAAACAACAGGGAACTAGGAGACTATGATATCTATCCCTCTCATAGTATGTCCTGTCGTCTTAAATTAAAAAAAACTAAAAAAAAAAAACTACAGCAGTGGTCCAATTACAAAGCCATCAGAAACACCCTCAAAGTGGGATTAAAGGGATAGTATAACTAAAAAGGAAAATTCGGACATTTACTCACCTTCAAGTTGTTCCAAACCTGTGTGAATTTCAGTTTTCTGCTGAACACAAAAGAAGATATTTTGAAGAATGTCAGAAGCCAAACAGTTGATGGACCCCATTGACTTCCATAGTATTTTTTTTCCCCCCCATACTATAGAATCAGTGTTTGGTTACTCATGTTCTATTAAAATATCTTTTGTGTTCAGCAGAAAGGTATGGAACAACTTAAAGGGGGAGTAAATGATTTATTTCTGGGCGAACTATCCCTTTAAATCACCTCATCTTTAGCAACAAAAGGCACTGGGGTCTCAGTGGTGCGACTATCCTAACGCTACGAAAATAAAGTAAAAAAGCACACAAGTATGCTCATTTTATGACACAAACTCTCTAAAACTAGAATCCAAAGTAAAGAAAAAGATTCATGAAATATTGTAACGTCACTACCATTTGATCATATTTTGTATTAAAGTAATACACATACTTACTATGCAAAATCTTTTAGTTTAAAGTACACACTTAGAGACATAACTCATGTTCTGCATTTTTGGCATTTGTTTTAAAATGGAAAAATAACTATACACACAGACAACGAAATTTGGTCAATTTGGTTGGTGATTTTAAGTAGTTGGATGTGTTACAGAAAATGTACACGAATAAGGAAAATCAAATTCAATTATATATTTCAATTTTTTATAATGACTTCAGGAGCTTATCTTCAAAAGGGACCTTTGAAGGACAGCCTGAACATACATCTCACAGTCCCGACACATCTGCTCCAGTGTAGGACTACCACGTCCCGTCTGGAGATGAACCAGACTCCAGTAGACAAAAAAATGGCCACAAAGCAAAGCTCACTAACTATGCTGTGAAGTAGAAGGAGGAGAACAGGAGGTAAACAGAGAGGAGCGTTTGAGGCTGGATCCTCAGTGCGCTTGTTGATCTGGTAGAAGCGTTCCCTCTGGCTGTTCAACCACGGGCTCTCCGTCAGGTGTGGAGTCTGAAACCTCTTCGATATCGCCTGTCGATGGTGTCGGGCTCATCTTAGTCTGCAGAGTCAGAAATGAGACTGGGATTTTCCACATTTTCAACTCACATACACAGTGTTGATATTATCCTTCACCTTTAAGGTTTCCACTTTCTCCTCAAATGACTTGAAGGTGGGTGTGTTCCTGCAAGAGACATGATAATGAATGACTGAATCTTCACACTTTAAAATCAATATGGAAAAGTAGATCAGTATATCAAATGTTTTGCAGCCTTTAATCCACCATGGCTGTGCTCTAAATCCTAAAGAGCTGCATATGTAGGCAACAGTTTTATGTATCAGACACAATCCTGAGGTCTTTCCAAACAGTAGGAGACAAAATGATGCTTTATAAGATTCAATCTGGCCACAATCTGAGCTAACACACATACTTTCTATAGATAAGGAGTCCATTATGTCAAGCACTTGACGTGCCCCCTGAGATTTTAGGTTAATATTTCAACAATTTAACAACTACTTTGCATGTTCGTGGTTCTGGTTGTTGGCTAATGGCCACAAAACATGCAGGAAAACAGCTCAAATATTTGCTGCACAATAAATAAACAAACAAACAGCTGCACAATTAATAAATAATATTGCTTTTATATTATTTTTTTTTTTTTTAACTAATTATAAAACATGGATGGATAAAAATGAAGACCGAAATAAATTTGTAAGAATACAATTGTACTATAAAATAAAAAAAGGGATATTTGCACGCAAAATAATTTTATTTTACAGTAGTTAAATACTAATGTCTTAACTTTCAAATGTTGAACCTTTGAGCTTTTATTTTGAAAAACTGAAGGGAGACCTTTAAATCTTGGTTTAGTTGACGACAGGTTTAGAAATGCTTCTTGTTACAAAATTCCACTAAAATGTTGGAAATTATGCAAATGTAAAAAAGTAAAGAGGGGAAAAGCGTATGTGTTAGCAACATGTAGATATGGAGTTTGTGTGGAGTAGCATTTACTGTGTATTAAAACATGCAGAATATCAGACTAAATTGCAATCTTTTGCTATTTCAACTTTATTTTAATTATTGTGCCACTATTTATTTATTTTAATTTAAGATTGAATTAATTATTAGCTTTTCATCAACTCACAACCCTAGTTTGGAAATTGAAAATTATAATCCAAGGTGGCAAACTGAGACAAAGATTGATTATAAATATATTTTATTCAGTACTGAAAAAATAGAAAATATTTCTATTAAACTAATAATGCTAATTTTCTATGCCAAACTTATTTGAATAGAATTATCTTAGCAACATGCTGAATGTGAGATTATTACAATGAACTGTGGGTGTTTATGAATATCTTGTGTGGTTCAACCTACAAAATATTAAATAAACCAACATGAAATATTTTAGATGTATTTATTTTAAAATGTGAACAGAAAGAGACAACAATGTGAAACGTTAGACACAAAACTAGCACAGCCATGTAGGAAATCGGTTGCCAGGTCAATAGAATGCAACAGTCGGGTTCCGGAAGTGAAAATTCAATTTCTCCCTAGGGAAATTTATTTTGAATGATAACTTATAAACCTTCAAAGACAGCCTTACTGTGAGCTACGAGGTTGATAATCGATAGTATTTGCTTCTGTTGGAGCCGTTAGCCCACATTATTTCAACTTAGTTTTAAAAAGATCTTGTTTAACAGCAAAATCCATGGTGAAAAACTACATTACCCATGATGCTGTACAGAAAAATGTCACCAGTGTCAAAACAAGCAAAATGCACCAAATGATCTTGTTAGCTCCGCCCACTCCCATGAAGCAGCACAAATGACGTAATTCAGTCGGCCTCTCTAAATAATTACATTTGAATATATGTGCATATTTTGCAATAAACTTAAAATATAGTGCTTTTATACGAGTAGTTTTATATTTCTTCATTGTAGTTCTTTCCATCACTGAAGTCATTAAGTAAATTTTTGAACAATTTTGAAATACTTTTTTGCTTTAAATCAAAGTTTGTAGTGTTGTGATTTACCTCGTAGCTGGTTGGCTTGATTCACGGCTTATAACTCTTTAACAAAGACTTTAAAAAAAAATCTCTTTGGGAGAAATGAATGGGAAAAAAAAATACTTCCTGAACTAGCGCTACTTAAAAAGTGGGCGGGCACTGTTGCACTCTGTTATACAATTAAACGTCATTATAAAACAATGTCTGACCACAGAATGTCACAACTGACCAATCAGAATCAGGTATTCCTGTGAAATACAGAGGATTATGTTGGTCTGCCAAAACTGTTCCTTACCTCATCACTGGCATGCTAGCCGAGTGCTGTATGGAGCGTATACTATCCGTCAGCAGCAAAGAAGAGCAAATAGGAGTTAGCTAAAGCTGTGAGTATTAGACGCATTACAAGAGGGGAAATAAAGTCATGCACCTACACATGTCTGAGTTTATAATCAGCATGAAAAGACACCTCAGCCCTTCATGCTGCGTGAAATTGAGTAAGAGAATAAGGCTTTAATCCATGGGGGGTTTAAGACTTTATTACCGCTATCATTGACTCGGATTCACACCACAGCTGGGAAGCCCAGTTTGGATGAACAGGGTGTGTGAGGGAATTAGCAGGGAATAAACAGGGTTTAAACAGGTCTGCATCACTGTCAGAGGGGATGATTTGTTTAGCAGACCGACAGCCTGAAGAGCGATAGATTCGTGTGGGATATGAGCACATACACTATGAAGAATGCCGAGAAACAATGAGAGACGATGCTGCCTTTTAGACAGAAAGCAGGAGAAAACCAAATCTTTGCATAAGACTGATGGGAAATCATCTTACTGACTTCTATTCATTCATTCTTTGATGACAAGATCAATTAAAAAAAGCATAATAGTTTTTTTTTTTTGTTACAAGAATAGTTCAAAAAAAGTGAAAATTGTCATTATTTACTCCAAACTTGACTGTTTTTCTTTGCTGAACACAAAAGAAGATATTTTGAAAAATGATCTTATGGACCTAGTGATTTTCATTGTATGGACAAAAACAGTTCTTCAAAATGTATCCTTTTGTGTTCAGCGGAAGAAAAACAGTAATATGGAATGATGTAAATGATACATTTATACATTAAAGGGTTAGTTCACCCAAAAAATGAAAATTGTGTCATCACTTAGGCAAGGTAAGGCAAGTTTATTTTATATAGCAAATTTTCATACACTATGGTAATTTACTCACCCTCACGTCGTTCCAAACCCATTACACTTTTGTTCATCTTCGAAACATAAATGAAGATATTTTTAGGAAATCTGAAAGATTTCTGTCCCTCCATTGACAGTCCAAGCAACTACCACTTTGATGCCACAAAAAGTTCATAAATAGATGGTTCAGTCCAAATTTTCTGAAGAGACATGATCACTTTATATGATGAACAGATTGAATTTAGGCTTTTATTCACATATAAACTTTCATTATGTGAATAAAAGCCTAAATTCAATCTGTTCATCATATAAAGCAATCAAGCCTTTTCAGAACATTTGGGATAAACTACTCGATTCATATTCGGTTTACGATCTCTTTATGAACTTTTTGAAGCGACAAAAATGGCAGTTGTGTGTACTGTCAATCTCTCAGATTTAACTGAAAATATCTTCATTTGTTTTTCGAAGATGAACCAAAGTCTAACGGGTTTGGAACGACATGAGGGTGAGTAATTGATTGATAACAATTGATGACAAGTTTTTTTATTTTTGGGTGAACTAACCCTTTAAAGTAAAGGTTTGAGAAGAAAAAGTATGCATGCAATGTTGAAACATGCAGGGGAAGAAATGGGAGACTAGCACTACCTCCAAGTGCATGCCACACTATAAAACCATTCATCACACTACGGAGAGGTGTAGCAGCCAAAATAACCGGCTTTTGTTTGAAGCCTCTGTAAACAGTCTTACCCAAAAGAATTGGAAAATGACTGTAATCTGTAAATGGCAGAGGTGTCATTAGCGAAAACAGTTAACAATGTTGCCAGCGTTGCAGCAAGAGTGTCGTAAGATGGTGAAATTGAGCGCATGTCAATTCCTTTGACTTCAGTGTATGATGTGGGTGTCTATGGTTAATGGTTTTATTCTACCTCAATTTTGGTAATTCCACTGTGTGGGTGAAAAATTCAGTCCTTTGCCATTTTGTCCAGTAGTGTTATGCTAAACACACATGTATGTATAAGTGGTTATCACAATGGCTACGTTCACACAGATGAAGCAGACTGAATACTGTCTGTAAAATCCGATAATTGAATTCAAGTTTCAATTGTCTCAAATAATGCCTGTAAACACACTGACAGATAAATAAAGCACATACTAAGATGTTCAATTGAGTCCTTGAAGAGAGCAGAAGCTCAATTTACCATATTTGATGAGCAAAATGTATGAGTATTGATCAATGATTATATTTGAATAAAAGTATCAAGGTTTTGGTTACATGGACTTTCAATATATATATATTATTGGGGGACCTATCCCTTTAAAGATTCAATTTTGTGAAATTTTTGAAAACTCCTACAACTCGTCCTCTGGCCAAAAACTCCACCCAGCATTTAACAGGAGTTTTGTCTCATTCTCTGACCACAAAACCTCCCAAATTGCACTTGTGACTCCTTCAAGTAGTCCCATTCACCTTCACTTTTTCCCATAAAATAACTCTGTGTGAACTTAGAACTCCAAACAGGAGTGATAAACGTTATCTCACGCTGTGTGAACGTAACAAAAGTGGTTTAGAACAGACATTATTAGTAGTTATTATTTAGTGAGTGTTCATTCATTTGTTACTAGGTAAAAAGGGTACAAGGGATAGTTAAATCAAAGGATGATAACTTAGACAAGGACTTCAATTTACGTTCTCACCTTACGTCCTCCAGCTTTCTGGTAATGGCTGAGCCCACGCTGGAGAACGCAGTTGTTGCCTTCTGACCCACTTGGGACAGGGTCTCTGAGGTCTTCTTATACCTGTCCAGGACAAATGGGGGGGGGCAGATATGTAGAGAAAATGTTACCAACAGCACAACATAACCATAAAACACCAGATCACGTCATTCTAACAGCTGGTAAAGTCATAACGTTCACAACTGTACTTCTTTAATGTAATTCAGTCAAATAGCAAGTGTGAATGCACAGCAGAAGCATTGACAGATGGAGCCGCTCCGCAGCAGCAGTACGAGAGGCGGCGGGCGGCACGCAGATGCCTGAGGCGAGTGAGGGCACGTACGCAGTGGAGGTGGTGACTTCCTGCCAGCCTTTGCTCAGGTTCTGTTTAAACTCGTTGAGGGGAGTGATGCCTAGCTTCCGCTTGATCTCCGCCACCTGCTTCTCCTTGGCTGCCAGCACCTGAGAAAGAGTCTGGATCTCATCTTCTACCTGTAGGGAAACAGGACAGAAAAATTCATCTGACATGGAAAATATGGTTAAAAATAAAAATGGGGTAAGAGTCCCAAAAATTGAAATCACTGATATAGCTTATCTATTAGAGACTGCTCCAGCTACAAGATGTAACACAGCATGTGTCAAAATAGTGAAGTGAGAGGGCATTGCAAAATGAGAATCAACCACACTTGGTCCTGAGAGAATCTCAGACAGTGAATGGCTGCTGAGATGTTGTTGAGATGTTGAAATCTAACTAGACTGAATGATGTCGACCTTAGCTAGTTCACTGCAGAGATCTGCTTGCTCTTTCTCAGTTAGGGATGTGCAGGGTGAACAGGGTTCCGCATCCACTGCATCTTCGCCTACTTCTGGGCTGAAGTCGGGCCTCTGGGTCCCTACAAAAACAAAGACATGCGCTATGAAATATCTTTTTTTAATTGTTGGCCTTAGAAAAGACTGCAGGTTTTAACTCCACAAAGGGAAATGGAATGGTGAGACACTTTATATGTCACACTGTAAATACATTAGAAAAAAAGTTACAATTCTGAAAACAAAAGTTGCAGTTACAAGAAAGTCACACTGTGAGATAAAATTACAATTACAACAGAAATCCCAATTACGAGAAATAAAAATCACACTGAGATATAGCTCTAATTATTTACATCACAATTACGAGAAAGTCATACTCTGATATTTAGTTACAATAATGAGAAAAAGTCACTTTACAAGAAATAAAACCACACTATGAGATTTAAAATTACAACTATGAGAAAGGTCGCATTTACAGGAAATAAAATTACACACTGAGATATAGTTCTAATTATGTTGCAATTACGAGAAAGTCATAATGTGATATTTAGTTACAATAATGAGAAAGTCACATTTAGGAAATAAAATTACACTGTGATATGTGAATTTACAATTCCGAGAAAAAAGTCGCAATTACAAGTCACATTGTGTGAGATTAAGTTACAAACAATATTACATTATATTTATTAATTTTTTCATTTATATTTTTCATAGTTACATTGTGAGTGGCAATCACCTTTGTACTTTTGTATTCTGATGCAGAAATGGGCTTTCTTATGGTAAAACAATTAGAAGTTCCAGAAACAAATTCAACTGATTCTTTGTGATATGAATTTTAGCATCAAGTAAGTTTTAGTTCACTTCAAGTTGAACTGTCTGAGTGTCCTGAAGTCCTGTTAGCTCAGTGGTGAGTGGTAGGAAGATTCTGGTTCTGATTTAGCGATTTTGTAGAGTCAGACATCAGACCAGGATGCGAAAGAAAAACATAAAGGAAGATGAGGAGGGCAGAGAGAAGTCATGTGCCAAAGAACTTTAAAACTTTATAAGGTGCTTGTCACATGATGGACACCCACCCTAGGGCTCACACATGTCTGGAAGATGTACTTTGATGCCTCCACTGACAGCCCATGCAATGGAAATACTAAATATATAATAAAAATCCTGGATGACACTATTCAGTGGGCTTATAACTAGGAAGAAAAGCACACTGTCAATCAAACTGAAAAAAAAAAAAATATGACAGCCCTGAATGAATAGATCTGTACTACACGGTATAGTACACTGTAATGTTATCAGCTGATGTTCTTTTTCTTATTTAGTGAAATCAGTGTTTTTGTGCTTTACATAATTATTGGATTATTGGAACAAAATTACCTGATAAGACCATTCACTTTGTCAAACACTGATCCCAGAGCTTTAAAAGAATCAGTCTTTTCCGTGTTAGTTGACCAACAAAAAAAATTGTAAATAATAATAAAATTCAAAGCTTGCTCATATCCATTTGATGGACCGCATTTTATCAAATCAGAGATTCAGGTCTCAGCTTGCAGCTTGGAGGTTTGAAACGTGTTTTGAGGAAGAAACTGCATGTAAAGTTGCATCACATGAGGAAGGTGTGCAACTCATTTGTAGGCAGCTTGTTTGGTATTTCTGGAAAAACTGGTAGGCTGGCCTCCCACTTTAACTTAACACAAAGGTAATTAGAAACAGAAGTGAGGAGCTTGTTTGACAATTATATATATATATACACACACACACACATACATACAGTATATATGCATGTGTGTTTGGTATGTTTAAAGTGTCTTGACAAGATTTTGCGACTTGATGCGAGCAGGAAAGTATTCTTAACCATACTTTGATAATGCAAATAATATAACACAATTATTAACAGAAAGTTATTGAAACGCACTGAATAATGATTATATGAACTGGTTACTTTCTTACTAAAATGAACAGGATGAATTAAATACAGATCATACAAGTTTTGGCTAAGTGGGAGGGTGAACGTTCCTAAATTAGTAGCAGTAATTTTCAGTTTGAATAAATTAAGTCTTTTCCCACCTTCTATGTTCACTTTCACAATGTCTATTAAATACACCATTATCTCTCAAAACACAATTCTTTTGAAACTACATCTGCTGACTGTTATAGTACGCTCTGAGTTACACACTAGCGCACTGACGCTGGTGTCACGTTCATTCATCATGGGAAAGGAATATTGACAGTGCCATCCAAGTTCAACAGTCGATTTGAAACAGTTGAGTAGTTTACAGGAGGACTTGCATGACATCACTTGCACAGTAATTATGACTATAACCAATGGCTGAACTTCATACTGAACTTGAGCAGGGATGAGCACTGCATGAAAGCATTCGAGGTGAAAGGTTCGTCTATAGAGTTGTTTTGCAGCATAAACCGGTTTAATGCAAACAACAATTGGGGCTCATTCCTCCAAAGGAATTCTATGCAAAAAAAAAAAAAAACAGAGACAAATGTACTACCTATTATACACACTACTTTCACACACACTCTTTTTCATGCAAGATCATATCAGTTTAACTTTCTGGATCTCAACTTCTATTATCTTTATGGGATCTGTTTTTTAATGTTAGAAATAACTTTTGTAAAGTCGTGACAAATTGGCTTAAAAAAGTGGTGGGAAAAACTAGACAGACAAAATCACTGAGGACATTAAAAAGAAAGTAATTCAATTATTTCCAACCCCTCAGACGAGCTGTAATGAAAGCGTTTCAGATTTGTTCAGAAATCCCTGATTTCATCACCAGCTTTACCGTCACAATTCCTGTTTAATACATTTGTGGTTCAACATTAATATCTGTCCTCAAGTTGAATCGATTTCTCCACATGTGGATTTCCAGATATGATATAAGATAACGAAAGGCTGCCATCTCACGAATCACCATATAAAAGAAGCCGTGATCCAACCCTGATGTGCCATGATGGTTCACAGGCTTGATCAATGGCCTCGGTATAATGAGATTGAGGGCCCTGTGTAAACACACTTGTAATTTGTTAACCAAGCTCACTGCTCCTCCATTTAGTGATTAAAATCTTAACTGCATTATAGGAACACTGCTGGCCACGGAATAATTTATAGATACAGTTTTACTGTACCGACCAGTTAAGCGTTTGTCATTTGAGTATGTGCCAGTCCTGTTAATTTAGTCAATGTTTGTTAAAGGGCCCTGCACTGCAGTTCTGTTTCTTTAAAAGGGCCATATCATGTGGAAGGCAATTTTAACTTTTTAATAAAATGGTTTGGTGTAATATGATTTCATACAGGGACATTATAACAGTAACATCATTTACCCGTCCATAATAGCGTTTTTCTTTTATTTAATTGTGAATGCTATTTTCAAATTTACATAGATTACCTTTGCCGTCATTGAACAATCACTTAAAGTAAATCGTTAAATACACTAATATTTATTAAGTGTAATGTTAAATGTAACAAATCCCATAATGAATATCTATTTTTCACACTGTGACTGTACATTATAATGTTGTGATGCATAAATTCACTTGTATGATTTGAAACAATTTACATTTAGTTTTTAGTGTTGAAACTCATTTAGACAAAACAAAATAATTTTGATATTGACATTTATCTGTTATAATATGAAACAAATACAGATTTTGAATATCTGTGCATCACTAGAAAGTTACCATTCTGTATTTTCAAAACTCAATACAAAAAGAACATTTATTGAAACTATAACCTGCAAAATCAAATCTGCACATGACTGTCCACATTTACACATCAGTAAAGCTTAATGAGTGATCAGAAACTCGACACACCCAGTCTCGGTGTGAGGCCATAGACAGAAACGCAATTACCACTTTCAAGGCCCAGAACGGTAGTAAAGACATTGTTAATATAGTCCATGTGACTACAGTGGTTTAACCTTAATCTTATCAAAGCGACGAGAATACTTTTTTGTGTGCAAAAAAAACAATGAATATATTAAAAAAGAACTTTATTCAACAATTTCTTCTCTTCTGTGTCAGTCTCTGACGCCGTTCACGTGAGCACAACGACCCATGAGTGTGACGCTGACGCAGGAGCCAGCTAATACTGAGACGTAGAACCTTGAAGCGCTGCACTGTGTTTACAACATTAACAGCGTCAGAGACTGACACGGAAGAGAAGAAATTTTTTAATAAAGTCACAAAAAAATATTCTCGGTGCCTCAACCACTGTAGTCACATGGACTATTTTAACGATATCTTTACTACCTTTCTGGGCCTTGAAAGTGGTAATTGAACGAAGGTCTTACAGGTTTGGAACGACATGAGGGTGAGTAATTAATGACAGAATTTTCATTTTTGGGTGAAGTATCCCTTTAAGCACCAGAAAAACTGACAATTATGCGCAAGCAAGTTCGCCAGACTCCTTGCCGTTCCTGGATGTGTGTAGCACCTACAGCTCTGCATATCCTCCTACAGGAGCCCAATGATAAAAAAATAGGAACTGGTTTTATTTTGAACAAGTTCCCAGATTTATTCAGTCTGATATTTCCTTATCTGAAGGGGATGTAAATAGCATATTAAATTTAAAATTTCAAACATACACACACAAGTTTTTTTATTTTATTCTAATAACAGCCAAAGAGATATAAAATGGCATGAAAAACTAAATATGACTAAAATGTGTTTTAGGCACAAACAAATTACAACCACTCTAAGTGGATATCAGGGAAGAAACAATAAATAATACAAAATAATACAGTGAATGGCTAGTAGAGATGGCACTTCCTCAGACTGCACTATCCCGGTGTTTGGGAGTTATTCTGCAACCCGACGGCCCACATGAACAGCACCTGCTCCTGATGGCTGAGCTTCTCCAAAACATCAGCAATTGACAGGAAGAGGGCTCTTAGCCTACGTACTTTTAATAACATTCTTTGTCTCTTTCTCCGTAACACTGCTTGTCTCTCACTGTGTTACACTGACAAACACCAGTCCACACCTAAACACACACACATCCACTCAGCACCTGAACAAACACAGTTACCTCTGAGCGATGGTACGGGTGAGCCAGGGGGAGTGAAACTCTCTTTGGGTGACAGGTAGAGGTAGCTAGTGTTCAATCCCTGCTCAAAGTTGAACGGAGACGTGTACTCCTCGACAGGTTCCTCCATGCTGCCCGTGAACAGGAAGCTCCCTGGACACTAAGTGATTGCATGTGACTGAGCGTGTGCCGATTGTCCTATTTGCTAGCTACGGTTGTGAGTAGAAGTGTGTGTTGCGGATCCTGCAGCGCTAGCAGGGAAGCCGCAGGCTCACATGATGTCCAGCACAAGACGACGACGGCAGCACGTTAATAAGTTACCTCTCCAGAGCGATCTATTTCCGTCACGAGCCGACACTCCCAGCTGTAATCTTAACTGTCCTTATTGTTGACAATCCTGTAAAAATGCCAGATTCTCAAGGTCTGAAAAAAGCCATCGCCATCGTCTTCAGCTTTCTCATGCTCAGCCCACTCCATTTATCCACATCCACGGGAAATGAAGATCCATTTGTCCCCTGGTCACATGACTCTGGGGCAAGCCCACGAAAAGAAGCTGTAATCTGTGGTGGCCCAGATTACAGCCCTAATCCATCACAAAGGGCCTCCGCATCGCTTCAGATACACACCAGCTGCACAAACCATTAGCTACACACTGAAATGGATTCAGCCAAGCGCAGTGGATTCAACCTTTATGGTTTGATCCATAAAGGCCGACACACACTCGTGAGTCTTCGGCACCATTTTACCGCAAACTCCATCCATGCAGCATTATATCGAGGAATGCAGATTTTATAGGTCTTATGAAACTGGAAGAATATTATTAATATTATCAAAACATAACTGCAAAGGCATGCATGTATGTGTGTGTGTGTCTTTGTGTAACGTCAGAGTGAAAAGGCTTCTCGAACAAGAAAAAATGAAGGATAGAACTTGATTTTGTCCATTGGGAATTGATAGGATCATTGGATCGTTGTTGTTTACTAACTGCTGCGATCATATGTGAGCGACATATATATTCATATACAAGAGCCAAGCAGTGACAAACACACATGTGCAGATGTCAATCAATTAACAACCTAACTACATTCACCTCGCACGTCTAGGACGGCAGAACCTTGACGCCTCCGCACTACTGTGTGCAGGTTAGTACCCGGATATTTGCCTTTCACCAAAGTCCTTGTTGGCTTCCATCCAGACTAAATTGCACAACAAAAGCCTGCAGATGTTCAAATAGAGACTTGAATGCAATCTGCAATCATCGAAAAAATGTAATTTATGTTCCTTTGCTTGCCAAATCATTTTTACACGAACCTAATACAATACATTTTCATTAACACTTCGGCACATGTTGGCAAGTTCAGACAAATACTTTTTTCATGTGTTTTACAGGGGCCTGGTGCATTGTGGGAGATCATGTGACAAGCCCCAACCTTCATGTTAGGAGGACCTGTCTATGACAACATAAAACAAACAGCGGAAATAGAACAGAGATGTTCAATGAAAGAAGGTGCTTGACTTCCCATTTTAAAAAAAACGGACGAGAAGTATTGTTTAAAAGGGGAAATAAGCAATAATCACACATTTGTTTTGACTAAACTCTTTGTTAAACAACACAAATTTAACTAGATACATGCCAACTTCTGCCTCTGGCCCAGTAACATATCCATGACCCCACATGGAGTGGCAGTGATCTTTACAATGCCAATAATAGGATAGACATGGAATCCCGTGACTTCATATAGAGCTGGAAAAGCCTTTCAATGGGCTCGTGCCACTTCAACATCATGCAGGAACCCTTCTGAACTGGCTCTCGTATGACTCGCATTTAAACTCAGAGAGCACAAGAACATAAACACCCCAGTAAAGAAACAAAGAGGACATTTGAAGCACCTAATAAACCACAGCTTCTAATCAATTACTGGGTTATTCCAAGCACATTGCATCCCGTGATTGGGACAAACGAGAATCATGGGACAGACAGAGTGCGACTCTAGCAGCCTGGACAGACAGCAATAAGAGGCGGGAAATGGAAAAGGTTTAGCAGCCTATGTGGTGGTAGAAAAGGGCAACTTTATTTCTTCAAATGGTGTAAGAATTGCCAAAAGCATGACTAATGGGAAAATGGAGGACATTTTAGCTTAAAGGGTTAGTTCACCCAAAAATGAAAATTAAGTCATTAATTACTCACCCCCATGCTGTACCAACCCCGTAAGACCTTCGTTCATCTTCGGAACACAAATGAAGATATTTTTGATTAAATCTGAGAGGTGGATCACTGCTACATAGGCTGCCTAAGGGAATGAAACTTGACGGCCCAGAAAGTCATTAAAGAAAATGTTTAAATATTCCATGTGCCTTAGGGCTGTCACTTTTGAGAAAAATCTAATTCGAACGGATATCGAATATCAAGCAATGTATTCGAATATACGAGCCCCGCCCACCCACAAAAAAAAAAAAAAAAAACACCGTAACGGAGATCACACATTTATTAACAGTCTGATAGTCATAAACAGGACTCAGGCCTGTCTGAAATTTTTTTTTTTGACTTAATGTTTTAAACAGCAGGTTTTCAACTTAATCTATATGAAGTGCCAGTATGCATAGCCAATCACAAAATTAGGCGCTACATGGGGAAAAACTGAAGCGGAACAGCACGGCACAAACAATAACGTGACAACTTAAACAGCAGCAGGAGTAAGGCCTATATAGCCTAGCTAGCCCATAGCTGTCAACATTGAACATTGAATATAAGGGAGATTTCCCGGAATCCATCCCCAAAATAAGGGAATTTTTTTACACGATTCTTACCCACCACAAACTTTAAAAATAAAGCACTAATCATTAAAAGTCTAAAGAGTTTATAACTACAAATGAGTGAGAGAGAAAGAGACAGTGTGTGTGTGTATTAGAGAAAGTGTGTCATTTTTTAAACATTTTTTATCAGAGAATGTTTAAATACTAATATCAGCTTACGAGGGAAACGGTACGTGGTGCTTCGGGGGCTGCTGGAGATGATTAGGGAGAGGTCTGTGCTCCTTTACCGATCAAAGCGCGCGCTGACACGGAGTATAATTGTTTATACTTGACGCGTCCGCACGAGCGCGGCAAAGATTACGCGTTGGGTGCGCAAGACCGGCAAGACCCCATTTCGCTTGGCTGTGTGCACAGCTTTTTTTGTAACAGCGCGCGCGGCGCCGCATCCGAGGATGAACGACTTCAAGCCGAATCTGCCCGAGCATGTACGTCTCACACAATCAGAGCGTAAAAATACGGGATATTTTACGGGAAAATAATAAAACGGGAAGACAGCGGGAAAAGAGCTAAAATACGTGAGAAACCCGGAAAAAACGGGAGGGTTGACAGCTATGAGCTAGCCTAATTCATTTCCTAATATTGTTTGCTAGAAACACCAATTTATCAACTTGATCTGGATCAAGTGCGGCTCTCCTTTTATTGACGATGTTCTCCGCGGTGGAGAACACGCGCTCGGAGCGCGCACACGTGCCTGGCACACATTTGCGCGTCTTTGCATGGACCCTTATAATCGGATTGACGGCTCAATCAGACTAAAAAACCTTCATGTAAACACCTTAATCGATCCGATGGTTTACTCCTTTTGTAATCCGATCGAGAGAACCTGTAAACACTTGATCGGATTGAAAACCGAAACTAAAAGGACTGCGCATGTGCAATGACGTTTTACGCACGGAGCGAGCTGTTCTTTCTGTTGAATAAAGTGTCATATAAATGAGTGTTCCGTTATTAAAAAAAATCTCATTTCACTGTGAAGTTAAGCAGGACAACGTCCCACCAGTGCTTGGTTCAGATTCTCATCCATGGTTTTGGGCGCAGGGTTTTACTGCGTGATCAACAAGCAGCACGGCAAATCATGCTCATCGTCTCCAAATCATGACCAGAGACGGATAAATATTAAGTCTGCTGTTTAAAACAAATAAAGAACCAATAGAGGAGAATATTTATGCGCGAACAGCGGCATATTCGTGCAGTGTGCGCATGTCAAAAAAATCAATTCCGATTTGAATCTTGTGACATATAACGCGCACATTACTTTATGTATCGTTCATGTAAACACCGTGTTCGGATTCATCAATCGATTGTCCATTTCCAGACACTACTTTTTAGATGAGTTGGGGTAGAAATTGTCCGCTCAGGCTGGCCGTTCTGCGCGTTATATCTTCCATTTTCAAAACAGGGTGGCTAGTGGCTATTATTCGCTTGATTTGGTCATGAGCTTACGCTACAATACGTTTAGAGTGCCAGCTACTGGATGAGATGGCAAACAATAAAATAAAAAACAAACGGTCTAAATCATAGACTGTAAAAAATGCGCTAAACATAGCATTTTAAAAACCGGTTAGTTTATTTATAGTTCGATTACGGATATTTCACGTCATGTTCGAATTCAAATTCGAATATCGAATAAAAAGTGACAGCCCTAATGTGCCTACAGTGGCTCAACTATAAGTTTATCAAGCGACGAGAATACTTTTTGTGCGAAAAAAACACACATAAATAACGACTTTATTCGACTATTCCATTACTTCCTTGTGGGCCTGAGACGAGAGTTGAAGAGATTTCCAGAACGCATGCACGAGAACTGAGAAGAGGACGTTCTTCTTCTACTACTTCTTGTTCAGTTCTCGCACATGCGTCGTGGAAATCTCTTCAACTCTCGTCTCAGGCCCACAAGGAAGTAATGGAATAGTCGAATAAAGTCGTTATTTATGTGTTTTTTTTCGCACAAAAAGTATTCTCGTCGCTTGATAAACTTATAGTTGAGCCACTGTAGGCACATGGAATATTTAAACATTTTCTTTAATGACTTTCTGGGCCGTCAAGTTTCATTCCCTTAGGCAGCCTATGTAGCAGTGATCCACCTCTCAGATTTAATCAAAAATATCTTCATTTGTGTTCCGAAGATGAACGAAGGTCTTACGGGGTTGGTACAGCATGGAGGTGAGTAATTGATGACTTAATTTTCATTTTTGGGTGAACTAACCCTTTAACACGTTACTGACATGGTATGTGAGAGGCATTATTTTCTACCAACGCTACTGAAAACACACAATCTAAAGGTTGACTGTTCAAAATTGTCTGTGTTCACATGACTGAAAGAGGGTCAGTTCAGAGGGTTGGAGGGTCACAGCGAGGCCTTAACTTTCTCCCCTCAG